ATATCTAAACCCTAGTTTTGATTCTCCTAATCACACCTAAACAAACCATCTATAATTTAGTCCTAAAATCATGAACTAAATCTCATATGAAAATTAAAGTCCTAAGTGAAGTACTCTAAAAATAATGGGTCCAAAATATACAAGGGTCTAGCTAAACTAAAATCAACAATATCAAGTATTAAACTAAACATCATTTAAAACTATTTAAAAGAAAAATATACTAAAAATGCAAAAATAAAATAAAATGCTAATTTTATTATATGACAATTTTCTTAGCAGAAATAAGAAAAAGATGCAAAAACAACCACTTAAAAATATGAAATTTCCAATTTGTTATGATTTTTTAAATAATTAACAAAAATAAAAGAAATTAAAAATGATTTGAATTGGTTATGGGTGCAATCAGCAATTATTTCAGTTGAAAAATGAAGGATGGGCCCAGACTGGGGGTGCGCATAGCAAGGCGCGTCTGGGCCCAGCTAATCAGAAAACTCAAAAGAAAATAAAAAACAAAAACGGTGCAAGAAGTAAAAATATTAGTTCAATTCATGTTGGGCCTTGAAGGTGGTGGTACGAATAGCAATTGATTCCCAAGCCCAGCCACGTCGTTTAATGAAACGACGCGTTTTGCTTCCTCAGAATTCCCTCGCGTTTCAGTTTAAACATGGGCCGTTGGATGAGTCTCTGAGTCAAAGTCTTGGGAAGGATCCAACGATCCTCATGTTTCTTCTCCAAAGAATTAGGGTTTCACCATTAATGAGCCATGAGCAAGCTTGCACCAACCAGAGTTCAACATACTCGTACACCTTCGTTTCTCCATGAAATCCAGATCCATAAAAAGCAAAAATGCTCTACTTCTTCTCCTCTACACAACCATGGTTTCAGTTTTCTCCAAAACTCAATCTAGAGCCAAACCCGATAGGTAGAAGACCTTGGTTCCACCATTTTACACTGAGATCAACCCTGCTGATTCTTGCTAACTCTTACACTAATGCATTCTACATGCTATGCTGATCATTCTAATCTATCTAGCTAAGATTAACCTGCCCTAACCTAAGTGTTCTAAGGCTCAACAGTTTTGGTGCTCATGTAACAATCTCCATGAAAGGCTCTTAAACTCACCAGAATTATTCATCTACCTATGCCTAACAATTCTAACCTAAAGATTCTCTATCATGCTATCTATTTCTAGCCAATTCGATGGAAATACTAACCTGGTTTAAAGTTGAAAACAGAGGGATGAAATCACCACTTCAAGCTCAGCAATGCTCCAATGGCAATCAATAGACCAAGATCTTGATTCTGTATGCAGTAGTTCTTGCTCAAACCCCTTGGATTCTTGTAACCACTTCCTTTTGCAATTTGGATGATACACTTGGATAGCACGAATTCCACTTCAATTCAAACAGATCTTAATGGAAACTTGCTCTATGATGAATATAGATGATGATAGGATCAAGAATTTTGGAAAATGATGAGGATTTGATAGAGTTTGGAATGAATTTGCAAGATTGAAGAATGGAGTGAAACTTGGTGTTTTTGATCAAAATGAAGTGCAACCCATGATTGGAGCCACTCTAGGGTTTATATAGATGCTCATGGAACACCCTAGAACTTGTTAGAACCTTCTTGTGCACAAATCCCTTGAATTTTGGCATGTGTAACTTCATACATAAGCAACCAATGATAACTTCCAAATTCTGAACTAAACTAAAAAATCTAATATTGCCAATCATCTCAAAACATTCTTTCCAATCAAAATGACCTATAATTTCATCCCATTTGGACATGGTATGAAAAATCTCATTTTTAGGTCACTTTTATTCATTAAATTCACCTTTTAATTGACCAAATTTGGAACCTTGAGCTATGAACATTTCCAAACTTTCGTGATCACTTTTCTAGACTCAAAATGCCATTTGGAACAACTTTTATGTTGTGAAGTTTTTCATTTGAAGCTTCCTTGTATGAGTTTTGGGCATAGGCTTGAAATGACCTGTAATTCTCAAATGACCAAAATACCCTTTGCTTGCCAAGGACATAAGTAGAGTTCCACAAATCATATGAAGGCATAAAATACCTTTCTAGAAATCTAAGACAATGAGGAACAACTCTCATGTTTACCAGAAATCCATTTGAAATTTCCTTGAGGGGTAAAAGTTGCTTGGAAGACAAGTAACTTTCACAGACAAAATTTCAGATACCCCAGATGACCTGTAACTTGCAAGGACCATAACTTGAGTTCTATAAATCTACTTGATGTCTTCCACCGCTAAAATTAAAGGTATTGAGATCCTCTACAAGTTTCATGTTGTCCAAGGATCCATTTGAAGCTTGCATTTTGAATTATCTTGCTTGGAAGTTTGACCTAAACTAGGGGATTTTACACAGAAACCCTAATTTAGAAATTCCTCTTCTTCTTGATTTCTCTTGATTTCTCCTTGGCACAACACCACATCCATATCTACATGTCAAATGATGAACCCCACATCTCTCAAATAGACCTTGATGCCTTTCAATCAATCATTTGACCTAGGGTTGACCCAGATGAAACCCTAGTTGACTGTCTTCAACTGCAGCTCTTGCAATCTCATCAATGACTTGTCTCTCTTTCAAAATGACTCTCCATGTCTTCCATGATGTCTATATACCCTCCATGACCTCAATTCACAGCTCACAACTTCTTTGGTGATCTTCAAATACACTTAAGATAGGAGAGAGATCCACTGCTTGATCCACTGACTTCTTAGATTTCAATTTCTTTCTGATGACTGGGATAAGCCTGAATTTGAACAATAACCTCTTAATAGGCTCATAGAGATGAGAATAGTACTTGGTCCCTTGTTGGATGACTTGCTATGCTATGCTATGCAAATGATTAGACTATGTACATGATTTTATATGCAAATGCTAATGTAATTGAAACATAAACCAAGTGAAGTAGGTTGAGCAAATTTTAGGGTTGAGCAAATCCGATGTGTTCACTACTGAATTTCTACCCTGTATTTATAGGCAGCTAGTAAGGCTTAATTTCCATTCCCTTCAATGTGGGACTAAATTGAATCTTAATTTTCATTCCTTCAATGTGGGACTAAAGTGAATCTTAATTTCCATTCCCTTCAATGTGAGACTAAAATGAATCTTAATTTTCATTCCCTTCAATGTGGGACTAAAAATGAATCTTTTCAAATTCACTTCTATATTAGTTCTTACTTGTATTCATTTATTGCTCATTAATTGTCAACAAATGTTTCCAATTCCCACTCTAATCAATTAAAGTTCTAACATAAATGGCTATTATGCTTTCTTAAAACATCTCACATAAGCTCAAGTCTCATAAAAATGTAAATGTCTTAAAAATATGTAAAATCACATTGTATTTTTTATATATAATTTATTCAAGTCTATAATAGAATGAAGCATGTTGTGGAATTTGAAATATTACTTTGTAAATATTTGAAAGATATTGCAGAGAGTGTGAAAAAGAAGGTTGGATTTGAGAAGTGTCAATTAAATTCATTGTGGTTAATTATCCATATTGGATACATGCGAGACTCGAAGTGATGGTAAAAGGCGAAGATGAAATCATAATTAGAAAACTTTGTGCAAATTGTTATATGAGGTTTTGTCTAAAGTGTTAGTTAAGGACACGAAATTAACATATTAAGTTTAAGATTGTGATGATTTCTTATTATAAGCAATTTTTGAAGTCTTTTGAGTAAGTTATTTAGTTTTTTTGTTTAGTTTTTATTTAATGTTAATTTCATATTTATTTTGAATAAATTACTCTCAAATTAAATGAGAGGTTTATGTTTTCATTTTCTTGATCAATCAAAAATTTCAAATTGTTTATTTATTTGATTTAACACATGGAATTAATGTGATAGTTTAATCATATTTCAAGTTGTAGTAATTCAAATGGAGTAAAATAAAATGTAAATAAAAAATAAGACTCACATGAAACTTTAATGGTGAAAATCACTTTTTATGAAGAGTTAAGTAATAAACAGAGGCGATACTAGGGGCTATGGTGGGTCATGGTCCACCTCCCAAAAAATAATTTTTTTATATTATAGGAATTTATTATAATATCCCTAAAAGTTATATTATTATATGAAAAAAAAAATCATTTGTTTTCTTCTCTTCTTTCTTGCATTAGCGTACTACTGTAATACAATTTCTTTCCTTAAATCAAATTTTTGGCTTTCTTCTTAAAGTTTCACTTGCTTCTTCTCTGTCTCTGGCAACAGACAATCTCTCTAAAACACGACGTCATTTCCATTATTAAGACTGTTCATCTATAGCGACAATCGACAGCGAGTCATTTTCAAGTTCTCCCTCTTTGTCGTGACATTTCTCCTTTGTTGTTAGAAAGGTAAGCTGTATCTATTCATCACATTGTTAATCGTTAATTTTGAAAGAATGATTTTGTTATTGGAATTTTTGTGAATTGTGAAGAAATTTTAAGGTGAAATTGACTCTGAAAATATTGTTCTTAAAGAATTGATTGTTACAGATTGTTAATTTTGATTGTTGATTGTTGATTGTTGATTGTTAATTTTGAATGAATGATATTGTTGATTGTTGTGGATGATGCCACAACCACAACCACCTCTGTTATAACAACAAATTAAAACTTGTATTTTTACTAGTTATAACTTATAACAACAAGTTTGTCAAAAAACTTATAACAACAAGTTTTATTATGATTGAATTTCAATATTATTTTTAAATAATTTTTGTCGGGACTAAGAATGATGATGATTGTTGATTGTTAATTTTGAATGAATGATGTTGATTATTGTTGATGATGCCATTACCACAGTTAACCTGTTATAACAACAAACTAAAACTTGTGTTTTTATTGTTATAACTTATAACAATAAGTTTGTCAAAAAAAACTTATAACAACAAGTTTTATTATGATTGAATTTCAGTATTTTCTTCAAACAATTTATGTTGTGACTAAATTATGTTCTTGTAAAGTAGAAGAAATAAAGATGAAGAATGGAAAAATTAATCATTTTTTTAAGTGGAAAGTTTGTGAGAATGCTTCTACATCCGAACCTGCTAAAATTTCAAGAATCGAAAAAGTGATAACTTTTATGCCTCAACTAGTTGAAGTTCCACCAATTGAAAAAGTGACAACTACTACCCCTCAACGAGTAGAAGTTCCATCAATTCAAAAAGTAACAATGACTATCCCTCAACGAGTTGAAGTTTCATATGATATTTTGAATTCTTTAGAACGTGATCCTGGAAAGCCAGTTTCTTGTGAAGTTACTTGGTTAGAAGTTTATGCTTTAACCTTGTGAAACACAGTTCGAGACATGGCATTGAGATTGATGAAGATGAAAAGAAGTGAATATGAGGTATTCCAAAATACCTCTCTCTGGATTTGTTGGGTTGAATAGTATATTCATCCAAGTTCCATATCAGATAGTAGAAAAAATAGAATTTGAGTATTAATTTAAATAGAGATAGTTAGTTTTAGCTTTTTACACAACAATAAAATATACTCTTTTAAGTGTATTGAAAATTTGGGTAGTTGTGTGTTTATAGATGATTTTTTATTTTTCTGTTCAAAAATAGGTTGTTTAGAGGGTTTCCTATTTTTTCGTTCAAACATAGTTGTTGGGAGGGTTTCCTATTTTTCCGTTCAAACATAGTTTGTTGGGAGGGTTTGCAGTTTTTCCGTTAAAAAATTTCTATTGAGAGAGGGTTTGTAATTTTTCCGTCCAAAAATTGCAATTGAGCGATGGTTTGCAATTTTTCCGTTCAAAAATTATAATTGGTAGGGTTTGCAATTTTCTCTTTAAAATTTCAATTGTATGAGAGGGTTTGTAATTTTGTCCTTGTAAAAATTACAAGTTGAATTATGATTTTATGAGTTTTTATTGAAATTATTTGCTTCTTTTTCTTTTTGTGGGTACGCTTTCGCGTGCGTAGAAATTTGTTTTTTTTTTTTGTTGTTATTTTCCCAATAACTGACATCAATGTTAAGGTTCGGATCAAAGTAGGAAGAAACAATAATAATTAATCTGATCAAGGGAGGAAGAAGACAAAAAGATTGAAGAGTAATAATTTTAGAAATATGCATAATCATTATAATTATCATGATTGCTTTGAAGATGAAGTTGAAGGCAAAGTGAAGATATGTGAGAATTTGGATGAATGAAGGATTTTTTGGGTCAAATAGTATATCCATCCAAGTCCCACATCAGGTAGTAGAAAAAAAAAATAGAATTTGAGTATTAATCTATAACATATATAAAGACAAAACATGGTATTTTGGTGTAACTTATTTTTCTACCAATTTTATTCCTACTTTAATTTGTTATTTACACAATAACTTCCAATTTAACCACTACTATAATATTTCACATAACTTATTATTAACTTTCTACTATTAACTTCCTACATAACTTCTATTTAAAAATAATATTAAATAAAAAAAATTTCGTTTAAATTTTTGGGTGTACATCAAAAATAGTTTGTTGGGAGGGTTTGCAATTTTTCGTTCAAAAATTGCTAACGAGAGAGGGTTTGCAATTTTTCAATCCAAAAATAGCAATTGAGCAAGGGTTTGCAATTTTTCCATTCAAAAATGGTAATTGGTAGGGTTTGCAATTTTCTCCTTAAAATTGCAATTGTATGAGAGGGTTTGTAATTTTTTCCTTGTAAAAATTACAAATTGAATTATGATTTTATGAGTTTTGTTGGAATTATTTGCTTCTTTTTCTTTTTGTGGATACACTTCCACGTGCGTAGAAATTTGTTTTTTCTTGTTGTTATTTTTCCAATAATTTTGAATTATTTAAAATGTGATTCTGGAAAGCATCCTCCAATATGGAAATATTCATCAAAACAAGTCGATCAAATACAAAGAGCTTATATGAAATGGGGTCAATATCAAATCCGCTTAGAAGAATATCCTTTGTCCGACAAAGAGGATCATCCAAGACAGTTTCAAGAAACTTGGATTGAAATCTTTAATTCATGGCTAGAATATCCGCCTTCAAAGGATGCCACATATTGCTTTGCATGTTATCTTTTTGACAAAGGACCAAGTAAAAATTTTAGATCAAATGCCTTTATTACTATAGGTTTTAGAGGTTGGAAAAGAGTGAGATATGGAAATAATTGTGCTTTTCTTAAGCATATAGGGAAGGATCTTTGCTCGACACACAACAATGCAATGGAAGCTTATCAAGACTTGTTGAATAAAGAGGCACATATTGAGAATGTTTTCCAAAAGCAAAGCTCACACCAAAGAAAGAAGAATCGACTATGTCTCAAGGCTTCAATTGACATTGTTCGTTGGTTGACAATTCAAGCTTGTGCTTTTAGAGGCCATAATGAATCTAGCGAGTAAAAAACCAAGGTAATTTTCTTGAGTTGCTAAAACTCTTGGCATCTTATAGTGATGAAGTAGCAAAAGCTGTGTTGGATAATGCTCCACAAAATGGCAAATATACTTCACATAAAATTCAAAAAGAGATCTTGGAAATTATTGCTAGTAGGGTTATAAATCATATTCGTGAAGAAATTGGTGATTACAAATTTTGTATTCTTGTTGATGAAGCCCGTGATAAGTCAAACAAGGAACAAATTGCTCTTATTTTAAGATTTTTTGATAAATTTGGTTTAAAACAAGAGAGGTTTATTGATGTGGCACATGTGAATAACACGACGAGGTTAACTCTTAAGAAAATAGTATGTGATATACTTTCCCAACATAACCTTGATGTTTATAACCTTTGTGTCCAAGGGTATGATGGTGGAAGAAATATGAGAGGAGAATGGAATAGTTTATAAGCACTATTTATGAAGGATTGTCCTTATGCATACTACGTCTATTGTTTTGCTCATCGATTTCAACTTGCTTTAGCTACTGCTTCAGGAGAAATCAAACCAATAAATAAATTATTTGAAAATCAAACTTATGTGATAAATGTTGTTTGTTCTTTACCAAAGCGACATGATGAGTTACAAGAAGCCCAATTAAAAGAAATTGAAGATTTGTTGGAGATTAATGAGATCATTACTGGTAAAGGTGAAAATCAAATTGGTACTTTGAAACGAGATGGGACTACTTGTTAGGGATCGCATTTCAATTCTATTTATAGCTTGATGAATATGTATGAAGCAACTTGTCGTGTTTTAAAAACATTATCAAAGGAAGGAGAAAATAATAATACACGTGGGGATGGTGATAGTTGTTAAAATTACTTGAAGGAATTTGATTTTATATTAATCTTGCATTTGATGAAAGAAATTATGGGGATAACAAATGTGCTTTGTCAGGCATTACAACAACAATCTCAGGATGTGGTTAATGTTATGATTTTAGTTTGTGCAAAAAAATCTTGTTCAAGAGCCAAGAGAAAATGGTTGGGATAAGTTGTATGCTAATGTGACGTCTTAATGTGTGAGACATGATATTGAGATTCCTAATCTTAATGATACTCATTCAAAAACAAGATATGAACGCTCTCGTCTTGCAGAGAATCAGGTCACACTAGAACATTACTTTAAATTTGAAATATTTTTGGCTATAATTGACCAACAATTACAAGAGTTGAATCGTAGATTTAGTGAACAAGCAATGGATTTGTTAACTCTAAGTTGTGCTTTGAATCCTAAAGGTAGTTATAAAGCTTTTAACATTGATACTATTTGCACTCTAGTTGAAAAATATTATCCTATGGATTTCAATGAGTAAGAGAAGATTATTTTGTACTTTTAGCTTCGGAAATTTCTTGTTGATGCCCATCAATCAACAGTTTTGAAGAATTTATCAACTATTCAAAAATTATGCCCGTGTTTGGTTGTAACTAACAGGAATAAAATTTACTTCTTGATTGATAGACTACTCTGTTTTATCTTGACTCTTCCAGCTTCTACTAGCACAACTGAGAGATTTTTTCGGCAATGAAAATTATCAAGACTATGCTGCGAAACAAGATGAAAGGTCAGTTACTAGCAGATATCATGACCGTTTACATTGAAAGAAACTAGTATGGAAAACATATACAACAACGGTTGGAAAAGGGATAACATCACGCGTGACATGCCGTTGTTACATAGAGTGTGGTTGTATGTGCACAAATTACAATCACGGTCTTGCGACCGTTTTAGAAAACCTGAAAGTATGCTATATATGATCACGATTTCTATTACTAATCGTGGTGGTATATACATTTAGATTGCTTGTTTATTATATAATATGTAGATTGCTTGTTTTTCAATAAACCTCACAAAAATGTACAACCATTCAAATTGATGAAGAAGTATATAATCTAAAAATTAAACTATTCTTGAAAGCAAACTTAAACAAACCATTGTTTTCTGAATTGTATCCATCTCATCATTCATGTCATGTTAAGTCCTTCATCACATCAATTCCTTATATTCTAGTTTATTTTGAATAATATCAATAAATTGTTGTTATTCAAGTTAAACTATAAGAGAGTATATGGATGTCTTGAAGGAATCAGATCATTGACCCATATTCTATATGTTAAACAAAGTGAGATGAATGATGAGACAGATGCAATTCCGAAAACATTGATTGTTATAAGTTGGTTTTCAAATACAACTTAATTTTCAGATTATAAGTTTTTATGCCAATTTAAATGAAATGTATTTTCAGTGAAGGTTTAATAAAACAAACAATCTACATAGCATATAATAAACTCAACTTCATACAACAACATACAACAACACAAGATATTATGTAATGTTTTAAGAATTTAAAGAACAAAACATTGATGAGTTACAAGAAGCTTCTTTCTTGTGACTTAGCAATGTTTTGTTCTTGTTCTTAAAACATTAATCAACAACAAAAACATACAACAACATTTATCAACAACACAATAAAATACAACAAAATAAGGTTCAAGAACAACAATAGCAACATACAACAACAACAACATACAACAACATAAGATATTATGTAATTTTTAAAAAACGCACATTTTTTAAAACTAATCGTGGATCTAGAACAAATTATGATTTTCATCTAGTTTATTACCAACTAAAACATAATATCATCCTTTTTTTTATAAGCAAGACTATATTGATAGGGCATACTAGGAGTACACCAATCCCATTACAAGATATAATATATACACACCAACATCACCTAAACCTTAAGTAAGCAAGGACTCCTATTTTAGAAATTCAAGGGGGAATTTATACCAATCATAAAACCTACAATTGGTTAAGGATTTGGAAGTATATTCTAACCAATCCAAGACATATGCATGAATTTATCTACCATGTCAACTTGATTCCCAATAATATCATTAGA